TATCAAAATCAACTGCGGGCGGAAGATCCTTTTCCTATTTAGCGCCCAAACTCTGGAGGATTTTTAGGCTGCATTAATTAGGTCAACCGGAACCGGGAACACTTCTCATAACACCCGATGTACTTGCTACATCGTTAGAAGAATGGCATCTACGCTAATATTAGTCTGTTTCTCTCTTATTCCGAGGTCACTGTAGCCACCAGATCCAGTCTGTATTCAGATCAGATGGTCACTGCAGTCACCCGGATCCAGTACGTATTCAGACCAGATGGTGGATCAGCACCTAGACATGACCTCTACAGCCCTGAATGTCAGCGGAGACCATGTCCACTAGATGCGCCCCAGAGACAGATCCCCAGTGAAGACCTCATCACCTCAACGACCATCGGCACAAGACCACGGGAACCAGACAAGTCCTCTGCACAATCTGACCTGAGTTGCAGTCTGGAATTTAACCACGCCATGCTGGTTTTGTCTGGCCAGAGGAGAACTGGGCCCCCGACTGAGCCTGGTTTCTCCCAAGGTTTTTTCTCCATTTCTGTCAGCAATGGAGTTTTGGTTCCTTTGGCTTGCTTAGTTGGGGACGCTTGACTGATTGCTGATTGTTATTGTCTTCTTGCATTATTGACAAACTATTTTCCTGTTTAACTCTGTAAAGCTGCTTTGACACAACCAGTATTGTATAAAGCGGTATACAAATAAAGGTGACTTGACTTGACTTGTTCCATCTAAGGCTTAGATTCTAAGCTGTGCACGTGTGCGGCCGCACAGGAGAAATAATATGCCATGCACAGGACAGACGCAAAAATGAGTTGGGAACCGGTGAATGCGGTTTACAGGTTTCATTGAAAGAGAATGATGTTTGCCAAATGAGTCTCTGTAGAAATCGAATACTTTATAGGTTGCGGACGAAATAGCTTAAAGGGGTCATTTATAAACGAGGCATTCGTTGCATCCAGTGGGGACATAATTATGGTTTATAATGACTTATACTGTCTTTTTATGCGTTGCGTTGCATCACGCCGCGTAACATAAAACCATGTCTGCATTTGTGATCGGAGAATTGACAAACAACAAGCGCTACTCTACACTGCTCAAAACTCGCGTTTGAATCGTCAGTGGCAAATTCTTTAAATATAAAAAACTTACTTACAGTCTGTGAGTCAGAACAGCTGGCATTGTAGTCTACTCTCCCAGGATCAGGAAACAGTCCTCCATAAAATGTGCTGCACACATCTGAATATTTGGGTTGAAGTGTTCTGGAACAGTGTTGTAAACACAACTTAACCACTGATTTCTAGTCGTGTCCATATTTGGAAGACCAAACAAAGTAGTTTCGCTTTCACAACGAAACACAGCGTCACACACGGTGGCCAAGAGTGAGCGGCAGCCGGGGGCTAGAGTGAGGAATGGCCGGGGGCTAGAGTGAGCGGAGGGCGGCCTAGAGTGAGCAGAGGCAGGGGGCTTGAGAACGGCGTGGCCGGTGGATTCGACAAAGGAGCGTCCGGAGGGCTTGCGGCAACCACATGTGACGACCTCAGGCTGGACTCCGCTTCGTCCATGGTGAAAGCCAATCCGGTGATCCACAGCGCAAAGTTGTTGTATGAAAAATTGAAATCGCATCATATGACCCCTTTAACACGAGAGCCAGTGCAAACGCAATGACATGTGAAATAAATGGTCATCGTGTTTTAAAGAAGAGTGGCTTGATTAAGTGCTGGAAATAGCGGATGATGAGAAACACTGAGACATTTACAGTCACACACAGGTGTAGTAGTGTGCAAACTCTACTACTCTAAACTCTACTTATATAACTATATAAGAATTAAGAATTCACATGTTCACATTTTTTGAAAATATTTAGTTTACACTCACTTTAAATGCTTCAGTTTGTTTTTATATTATGTTATATTATAAACCTAATAAATAATTGACCTCAAAAAGGGAATTCATGAGCGATATCTGTATTCATTTTTTTTTAAATTTTTCTTATTTTTTTCATATTATAGTATAATATATGATATAATATAATACTATATTATATTATTATAAAGAATTGAACTGTAGAATGTGTGAGATTCTTAAAAAAAAAAAACATTTTTTAAAGGAATTTCTTGGTGTAACAGCTCTGCAAAAAAATTTTTTTCTCAGGTTACCTAAAATTTGCATTATTTAGTTACATCAAGGTTTAAATCAAATATAAATAGCACATTAAAGTCAAAAGTTACACACTTATTTCTGTGTGCACTGTACAATGTACAGGTGTTTGCTCAGGTGGCCGAAATGTCTGCCCAATAGAGAAAAGTTTCGCTCAGCAAGAAAAAAAATTAGAGGGAATTTTGCTTGTCACTACACCAAACTGTTATAAACTGAACATAACCTTACAGCTATCATAATTCATCATATCACCTCATAATCAATTAACTCCAACCTATCGCATATCGAATATCGCAACATTAACAGTCATTTTCCTGTTTATTACTGTGTAACTGACTGTTACACAATCCATATTGTATAAAGCGTTATATAAATAAATGTGATTTGGCACTTCTTTAGTAGTCAAAAGTGATCTTTCGTGAGTTAAAGGAAGTCATCGTCTTCTTGACTGGCTGTTTCATGCAGGTAACAGTCCGGTGCTATGTTAAGAGTTAATGAGGCAAGACATACTGTTTAGCAGGTTACTGTAGAACTTGTGGAAAAACTTGTTAAATGTTTTATTTTTTTAAATCAGAAAACTTACATATCAGGAGAACCTTCAGCACCATAACATCAACTGTAAAATACAATGGCATCTGTAACCATTTTTTTACATCTGTTATAAATTATAATAGTACTGTTGTGACTTACACTGATATAGTTGTATCAACTTTGATTCAACTATAATTAAGTCGTCTTCATGATATTTATAGTAGACATTTATTTTTAAAACATGTTAGAATCATCTCTGGTCTCATACTGGACTCAATCACTACAATGGAGAAGAATGAAATGTTTTGCAATAAGATTGTATGTGTACTTGTATGCATTCTTTATGAAGGAAATTGTTTATAATTATATTGGAATTATGATGTAAACATGGTTTATGAGGACACTGCGGATTCGGAATTTGAAAGGCTAAAAACATGTTTTATTGAAATTGACAAAAGTTTTCTATGAGGTTAGGGGATAGAAAATATGACTAGGTGTGAATGTGTGTGTGTGTGTGTGTGTGTGTGTGTGTGTGTGAGTGTGTCTGTGTGTCTGTGTGTGAACACTTCACCTAATCGTCACATATTCAAAGATTAGAATGACTTAAGCACCTTCAGCTTCTGAGAGAGCAGTCGGTTAGCTTATGTGGAGCTTCCACATGTTCAGAGTTTGTAGTTTTCAGCAGTTCCTGCTTCTCTACTGGAGTGTAATGTGGAGTGTCATGTGCAGGTTTGGAGCAAGTCGCTCATCTCTGTCCATTTCTTTAGAGAGAGCAGAACTTCTGATCTGCAGTCTGTAGCGTCTCATTGAGGGCGTCCTGTGTGTGCTGTGCAGGTAACTGATACCCGCCCGCTGTCTGATCTGGAAGAATCCATCATGTTTTCCAGCTGTGATGGTGTACATTACACGTTGAGAAAGTGCTCTGACAGCAGGCAGCAGCTCCAGTATGGCTTCACTGGGTTTGAGTTGTGAGCGATTGAGGAGTAATTTCAGCGGCTGATCCACATCCACACTGGCCAGACTAACTCCTTCCTGAACAGAAGTACAGGTGCATCTCAATAAATTAGAATATCGTATGCACCTGTATATTATATTACAATTATGAGGTGCAATGAACTGACATCCACATGCAACATTCATTTAGAAGAGAGATGAAACTACCAGTCCAAGACATCTTTAATGAAATGTGTTTGATTTTGATGTCTTTTACCAGTGTGAGGTTTGAAGTCTGTCCTCTCCTGACACTTTTCTTTTGGTGTCTATTCGTTTTGCAGCCATAGCAGGTTTCAGGAGAAAGACCATTTTCCTCTTCTGGTCCAAGCCCACCACCTCCAAAACCAGCAGCAGATACACAGTGTCTGCAGAAACAATGACTCATTCAATCTCACGGACGGAAAAGAAGAAAATATAAGACCAATAAATCACACATAATAGTTGCGTGGTGAGAAACTTCTCAGGTTACGTATGAAACCCTGAGAAGGGAATGAGATGCTGCGTCATGGCGTTGATGCTATGGAAACACTTCTGCATAACCGGGGTCTGAAGCACATGTGAAAACACGCCAACCTTGATTGGCTGACGTGAGGACAGATGACATACTGTGGCATGTCAGTGAGACCATAAATGAGCACCTACGTCATGGAATCGCCAGATTATAATTGTCTGAAGGAAGACGCTTCAGGCAAGGCCAAAGTGTGGCAACATGACGCAGCATCTTCATTCCCTTCACAGGGAACCCGGTTATATACGTTATATGTTTCCTTTCAAAGTAGAACTTCAATGCTGTTTTATGGCACTGACACTATGGGAACGTGACTGCCAATGCCACCACACTGAGGAAGAATGCCTGCCCCACAAGGCTGTGTAACAGTGGTGTAGATGCCTGTCAAGGCAGAAAGGACTGGATCAACACTCCTAGGGATGAAACCATGTCTAGACACTAAAGTCTAATGAATGTGCGCAGAGAGAATCAGCCTGCCACAGCACAAAGATCTTGTAATGGCACACCCTTAGATAGTGCCTTGGAAGATGCTACAATCCGAGTGGAGTGGGCCCTGACAGCTAGAGGCAAAGTAATTTTGCGCACCACAAGGCGCTGCTTGGTGAAAGCTTTACCTCTGTTACGATCACCAAAGCAGACCAAAGTTTAGGAGGATTTAGCAAATGGCTGCAATATAACAAAGAGTGAAAAATTTAAGGGGGTCTGAATACTTTCCGTACCCACTGTATATCCTATAGGGCTGCAACTAACGATTATTTTGATAATCGATTAATCGGACGATTATTATTATTATTATTATTTTCTCGATTAATCAGATAGAACTAATTTTATTTTAATTAGATGTTTTGCTTATTAGAACAATATAAAACCCTAAATCAGGGTATTTATGCATAAAAGTGTACTTTAAAAAAATGCAAAAGCCACATATTGAGTTTAACTATCTTTAATTTTGTCATTTTAAACCTTAAATAAAACACAAAAGTTTGTCCAGTTTTTGAACAGTAAAACTTCTGTAAAATATCCAAAATATAAATAAACAAAACAAAACAAGCATTGAGTTGTTCCCATTATAAATAATAAACCGTTATAAATAATAAACAAACAATGAATGTTACTGTTTGATACAGAGGTAGAATGTAGAAGAACAGGAAAACTGTCACTCTTCAAAGTTGTTCATACAAACATGTTTCTTATTCACTTTTCCAAAATTTAGAATTGGAATGCAAAAATGTCAGCATGGCTACATGCTCTGGGTTGAGGCTGGCTCCTTTTTTACAAGCTATGTAACCTGCAGCAGAGAACAGACTCTCTGATGGCATTGAGGTGCCTGGATACACAAGTGGGATTCAGCTAATTTGGCCAAGGTGGGGTATTTATCGTTATTATCTCTCCACCAATCCAAAGGATTTTCTTCCTTGGCTAGGGGCCTCTCAACAAAGTAAGCCAGGACTTCATTTCTTATTTGAGTGTTGAGGTGGTCCTCAGCTTTCTCCTCTCTGCTCTCTTCCTCACTGCTGCCTCCAGACTCAAGGAGTGAGTCAAGCAAAGATGTTGAAGGTTTAGCTTCTGTTCTTATGGCTGAGGTGGTTGTTTGTTGCTGCTCCATCTCCTTTCTTGCTGCAAGTGCTTCAGTTTGCACTTTGGCCTGCACAGTTATAATTTTCTTAGGTGACAGAAGTCTCAGTCTTCTGAAAACTGGGTCCAGAGCAGAGGAGAGAATCACAGGATTATCTACCTGTTCAAAGAGTTGCTTCCATCTGTTTTGAAGCTGCTCAGCTGCTGTGGCTTGGTAGGACTTCACTGGAGCTGAATCAAAGGCAGCACCTTCAGTGGACTTCAACAGCCCTTTCACAAGTGAAGGCAATGAGGAGACTGTTACATATTCCTGCCCGCTCATAAAAACAGTTACACATTCAAAAGGCTTAAGAGCAATGGAAAGTTCGTTAAGAAGACTCCACTGGTCTGGTTTCAAATCAAGATAGCAATAGCATTTGCCTCTGTGAGTGATGGACGGGTCAGACAGAGTAGCAGTTAAAGGCCACCTCTGCTCAATCAGTCTGTTAATCATATAGAACATACTGTTCAATCTGTTACTTACGTCCTGAACAAGCTTGCGCTCAGGTGTGCCCATTTGTTTCTGTTTTTCTTTGAGCTTACTGCAGGTGCTCCACAAGATATCTTGCAGCTCCAACAGCTCTTTCAATGCCTGTGTTCTTTAAAGCAGTGTTTTTATACACGGCCAGTGCAGCGTATACTGGTCCACCCGTGTTTCTCCTCCAGTAATTTTGCAGCAGCCACAATATTTGCGCCATTGTCAGGTATGTCTGTCTTCGAGTGGCATGGTGGTAAGGCAGACAGACATCATCTTCTAGTCATTCCAAATGTAATGGCATGTAATGTCAAGGTATGCTTCAGTGGCAACACTTGTCCATATATCACCAGTTAAAGCCATTCTGCTGTTGGTGGTGTTTATAGCAAACTTCACTTTTTCAAATTCCCCCTGGTTTTTCTTCTGCATCAATTTTGTGAAGTGGGTCCTTGAGGGAAGAATGTATCCCGGGATGAGGATGCTAATAATTTATTTTTTTTAATCCTTCATCTTCCACCATTGACATTGGCCACATGTCAGTTACCAACATACTCAGGAGGATGGCATCTGTTATAGTGGTTGCTTGTTGAGGAGTGCGTGGGGGATTTCTCCTTTGAACAAATTAACTCATGCAGAGTTTCTATAGAGAAAAATAACTGAATATGAGTATGCAAGGTGAAGCAATTTGTGTAAATCAACATTTGTATTGTCTTTTAATGATAATTGCAGATGTCAAGTTGACAACCATGCTTAAAAAATAATCAAATAATATCAAATAATAAAATCATATAAGCATCTATATATACAGTGCTGCTTGAAAGTTTGTGAACCCTTTAGAATTTTCTATATTTCTGCATAAATATGACCCAAAACATAATTCGATTTTCACACAAATCCTAAAAGCAGACAAAGAGAATCCAATCAAACAAAGGAGACAAAAATATATACTTTGTCATTTATTTATTGAGAAAAATGATCCGGTGTTAAATATTTGTGAGTGGCAAAAGTATGTGAATCTTTGCTTTCAGTATCTGGTGTGACCCCCTTTTGCAGCAATAACTGCAAGTAACGTTTCTTGTAACTGCTGATCAGTCCTGCACAATGGCTTGTAGGAATTTTAGCCCATTCCTCAGAACAGAACCGCTTCAGCTCTGTGATATTGATGGGTTTCCTCCTGTGAACTGCTGCTTCAGCTCCTTCCACAACATTTCAGTTGGACTAAGGTCCGGAATTTGGCTCAGTCATTCCAAAACATTAACTTTGTTCTTTAACCATTCTTTAGTAGATAAACTTGTGTGCTTGGGGTCATTGTCTTGCTGCATGACCCACTTTCTCTTGAGATTCAGTTCATGGACAGATGTCCTGACATTTTCCTTCAGAATTTGCTGGTATAATTCAGAATTCATTGTTCCATCAATGATGGCAAGCCATCCTGGACCAGATGCAGAAAAACAGGCCCAAACCATGATACTAGCACCATCGCAGATGAGATAAGGTTCTTATGCTGGAATGCAGTGTTTTCTTTCTCCAAACATAACGCTGCTCATTTAAACCAAAATGTTTTATTTTGGTCTCATCCATCCACAAAACATTTCTGCAGTATTCCTGTATTCCCTCTGGCTTGTCCACATGATCTTTAGCAAACTGCAGATGGACAGTAATGTTCTTTTTGGAGAGCAGTGGCTTTCTTCTTGCGACTCTACCATGGACACCATGGTTGTTCAGTGTTCTCCTGATGATGGGCTCATAAACACTAACATTAGCCAATGTGAGAAAGGTCTTTAGTTGCTTAGAAGTTAGCCTGCAGTCCTTTGAAACCTAATGGACTTTTATACGTCTTGCTTTTTGAGTGTCCTTTGTTGGTCAATCACTCCTGGGGAGGGTAACAGTGGTCTTGAATTTCCTCCATTTGTACACAATCTGTCTGACCGTTGATTGGTGGAGTCCAAACTCTTCAGAGATGGTTTTGTAACCTTTTCTAGCCTGATGAGCAACACCAACTCTTTTTCTGAG